AATGGATGTTTAAAGCAGATTAGACACAGTTAAAAAGTTAATTAGTGTTCATAGCAGCAATGTCCGCAATAGCCAAACTGTGGAAAGAGCCAAGATGCCCTTCAACACATGAATGGATAAAGATGTGGTCCATATATACAATGGAATATTACTCAGCCATCAGAAAAGATGAATACCCAACTTTTACATCAACATGGATGGGACTGGAGGAGATTATGCTAAGTGAAATAAGTCAAGCAGAGAAAGTCAATTATCATACGGTTTCACTTATTTGTGGAACATAAGGAATAACATGGAGGACATTAGGAGAAGGAAGGGAAAAATGGCCGGGGGGAATTGGAGGGAGAGATGAACCATGAGAGACTATGGACCTGAGAAACAAACAGGGTTTTAGAGGGGAGGGGGGAGGGGGAATTGGTTAGCCCGGTGATGGGTATTAAGGAGGGCACGTTCTGCATGGAGCGCTGGGTGTTATACGAAAACAATGGATCGTGGATCACTACATCAAAAACTAATGATGTATTGTATGGTGACTAACATAACATAATAAAATTAAAAACTACAAAAAAAAAAAAGTTAATTAGTGCACTGGAAGACAGGCCAAAGAAAATATCCAGAATGAAGCATGAAGAAAAAAAAAAGGAAAAGCAAGATACAGAAAAAAGGAAGATAAAGAAGCAACATAGGAGATACACTGAGAAGGAATAAGATTTCTATAATTGGAAACCCCAGGAGATGAGAGAATAAGCCAGAAGCAATAGCTACAACTTTCCAAAAATGATGAAAAGAAATAAGCCAAAAGCGTAAGAAGTCCAAATAACTGAAACAAAATAAATAAAAACAAATCCAAAGTTAACTGCTAAAAACCAAAGATAATTAAGAAATATTAAAAGCAGCCAGAGAATTAAAAACATTGATTTCAAAGGAGTAAGAGTTAGATTGACATCTGACTTCTCCCAAAAACAAAAAAGCCAACACAGTAGAACAGTATCTTTAAATTGCTGAAAGACAATGGCTATCAATCTTGATGGTAGTCAACATCCAGTAAAGATATCATTAAAGAATAAAATAAAAGTATTTTTTTAATTTTTTTTTAAAGATTTTTATTTATTGAATGATTGATTTGACAGAGAGAGACAGCGAGAGAGGGAACACAAGCAGGGGGAGTAGGAGAGGGAGAAGCAAGCTTCCCACTGAGCAGGGAGCCCAATGCGGGGCTCGATCCGAGGACCCTGGGACCATGACCTGAGCCGAAAGCAGATGCTTAACCGACCGAGCCACCCAGGTGCCCCAACAAAAGTATTTTTAGACAGTCAAAAATGGAGGAAATTTATCTCTAGAAGACCTACACTAAAGAAAATACTAGTGTACTGTTCTTCAGGCAAAAGAAAGAATGATCCCTGTTGGAAGACTGAAGATGCAAGAAAGAACATACAGCAACAAAGGGATAAGCTACATGAATAAATTAAATGAACATTTTCTGTTGGAAAAATTTTTAAAAAGTCCTGAGAGTTTTAAATAAAGAATTTTTTTATTTTTATTTATTTATTTATTTTTAGAGAGAGAGAGAATGTGTGGGTGAGTGGGCGTTGGGGGATGGGGACAGAGGAAGAGAAAGATAATCTTAAGCAGGCTCCACACCCAGCATGGAGCCCAACATGGGCCTGTATCTCACAACCCTGAGATCATGACCTGAGCCAAAATCAAAAGTCGGACACTTAACCAACTGAGCTACCCAGTTGCCCCTAAAGAAAGAATTTTAAAACATTAAAGACTCCACCAAAAAACTGCTAGAACTGATACAGAAATTCAACAGGGTCACAGTATATAAAATCAATACAGAGAAATCAGTTGCATATCTATACACTAACAGTGAAGCAGAAGAAAGAGAAATCAAGGAATGGATCCCATGTACAATTGGACCAAAAACCATAAGATACCTAGTAATAAATGTAACCAAAGAGGTAAAGGACCTGTACTTGAAAACTATAGAACACTTAAGAAAGAAATTGTGGAAGACACAAAGAAATGGAAAAACATTCCATGCTCATGGATTGGAAGAACAAATATTGTTAAAATGTCTATGCTACTCAAATCAATCTATACATTCAGTTCAATCCCTATCAAAATGCCATCAGCATTTTTCACAGAGCTAGAATAAACAATCCTAAAATTTGTATGGAACCAGAAAAGTCCCTGGATAGCCAAAGTAATGTTGAAAAAAAACAAAAAACAAAGCTGGAGGCATCACAGTTCCAGACTTCAACCTGTATTACAAAGCTGTAATCATCAAGACAGTGTGGTGCGGGCACAAAAACAGACACATAGATCAATGGAACAAAATAGGAACCCAGAAATGGACCCTCAACTCTATGATCAACTAATCTTTGACAAAGCAGGAAAGAATATCCAATGGAAAAAAGACAGTCTCTTCAACAAATGGTGTTGGGAAAATTGAACAGCCACATCCAGAAGAATGAAACGCAACTACTTTCTTACACCATACACAAAAATAAACCCAAAATGGATGAAAGACCTAAATGTGAGACAGGAACCCATCAAAATCCGAGTAGAGAACACAGGCAGCAACCTCTTTGACCTCAACCACAGCAACTTCTTGCTAGACACGTCTCCAAAGGCAAGGGAAACAAAAGCAAAAATGAACTACTGGAACTTCATCAAGATAAAAAGCTTTTGCACACCAACAGAAACAGTCTACAAAACTAAAAGGCAACCTACAGAATAGGAGAAGATATTTGCAAATGTCTTACCAGATAAAGTATCCAAAATCTATAAAGAACTTATCAAACTCAACACCCAAAAAAACAAAAAATCTGGTCAAGAAATGGGCAGAAGACATGAACAGACATTTCTCCAAAGAAGACATACAAATGGCCAAAAGACACATGAAAAAATATTCATCATCACTTGGCATCAGGGAAATACAAATCAAACCACAATGAGATACCACCTCACACTGGTCAGAATGGCTAAAATGAACAACTCAGGAAACATAGATGTTGGTGAGGATGCAGAGAAAGAGGGACCCTCTTACACTGTTGGTGGGCATGCACACTGGTGTGGCCACTCTGGAAAACAGTATGGAGGCTCCTCAAAAAGTTAAAAATAGAGCTACCCTATGACCCAGCATATCTATCCTAGGTATCTCTCCAAAGGATACAAAAGTAGTGATTCGAAGGGGCATATGCACCCCAATGTTTATAGCAGCACTATCAACAATAGCCAAAATAGGGAAAGAGCCCAGATGTCCATCAACAGATGAATGGATAAAGATGTGGTGTGTGTCTGTGTATATATATATATGTGTGTATATATATATACATACACACACACACACACACAATGGAACACTACTCAGCCATCAAAAAGAATGAAATCTTGTCATTTGCAAAGACATGGATGGAACTAGAGGGTATTATGCTAAGCAAAATAAGTCAAAGACAAATACCACATGACTTCACTCATATGTGGAATTTAAGAAAACAAAATAGATGAACATAGGGGAAAGGAAGGAAAAATAAGATGAAAACAAAGAGGGAGGCAAACCATGAGAAACTCTTAACTATAGGAAACAAACTGAGGGTTGCTAGAGGGGAGGTGGGGATGGGGATGGGGTAACTGAGTGATGGGCATTATGGAGGGCACTTGAAGTAATGAGCGCTGGGTATTAGATGCAACTGGTGAGTCACTAAATTCTACCTCCAAAACTAATAATACAGTATATGTTAATTAAATTTAAATTAAAATATATTTTTTTAAATGATGCCAATGGCAGTGGGACAGTTGGAATTAAAATGCCCTAGCATCCTTGTATTATATCAAACTTATATGGTAAGGAATAAGAGTATGTTAGGTATTATGCATGTTGTAATCTCTAGGATAACTACCAAAGAAACTGTAATGAGATACATACTAGGATAAAATCTAAAAGAAAACAAAAATGGAAAGAAAAGAGTATGAAAAATAAACAAGGTATGGAGAATATTCAGGAAGATGACAGATTTAAACCTGAGTAATTATATTAAGTATAGATGACAAAAATCTCTGATTAAAGTCCTGAATGAAATAATGAAACCCAACTATGGGCTGTTCAGAAAAGACATGTCTGAAATATAAGGACACAGAAAGTTTGAATATCAAAAGATGGCAAGAGCTAATACCATGTTAATGGTAACTAAGAGAAAGAGTTAGCTACAATAATGTGAAACAAAATAGACATTAAGGAAAAAAATCCATTATTAACATGAAAGAGAATTACTTCATAATAGTAAATTCGGTTCTCAGAAATATGTATCTGAAAGTCTGAGGTATTCACAGGGCCCCTGATTAAGGTCAGAACTTAAATCCCTCCATTTTCTTTTTTTTTTTTTTTAAGATTTTATTTATTTATTCATGAGAGACAGAGAGAGAGAGGCAGAGGGAGAAGCAGGCTCCCAGGGAGCAGGGAGCCCGATGCAGGACTCGATCCCAGGACCCTGGGATCATGACCTGAGCCGAAGGCAGACGCTTAATGACTAAGCCACCCAGACGCCCCCTAACCTTAGATTCTTCTTTCTTTTTTCTTTTTTTTTTTTTATTTGAGAGAGAGAGAATGAGAGACAGAGAGCATGAGAGGGAGGAGGGTCAGAGGGAGAAGCAGACTCCCCGCCGAGCAGGGAGCCCGATGCGGGACTCGATCCCGGGACTCCAGGATCATGACCTGAGCCGAAAGCAGCCACTTAACCAACTGAGCCACCCAGGCGCCCCAGATTCTTCTTTCTTGAATTGGGGATAATAGCAAGCTGCATTTCCTCTCTCACAGGATGGATGTGAGAGAAAGTAAAGCAAAATATTTATCTGAATTATTGATAGGCTGATGATGATGATATGATGGTAATTACAACCCTAAAATACATATAACCTTCCAAAAAGTCCATTCTCTATGGCAGCATACAAATCCAATATGTCAGTATATCCTCATTAAAATAATATCATTCTCATTAGTTTCAAAAGAATAGTTTAATTTTCATTTCGTTCCATGCTTAAACACATAAGATTAAAGAAAGATAACCTAAATATATTTCTTCCTTTTACAAACAATTTCCCTGTAAAAGAAATGGAACTTGTAACTTGAAGGAAGGGGCTAGCCCAGAATTAAACTATTATTTTCAGTTTTTCTATTTCATTCTTCCTTTATTTCAAAGTGATTCAAATTTATAGTGAGAGAATAAAGTAATGTGATAATCAAAGTCAATGAATTATTGCAATAGTACGTGGATAAAAACTGGTTCAATGGGATATGGTTATGAAATAGTAAGAAAGTCAAAGTAAAGTGAATCTTCATTATTCTAGGATTTAAATATTTCTCCGAAGAATGAGAAAATAACCCCCTCTCCATCTTCTGGGGGTAATTACCTCTCCTTAAAGAAGCAGTATTAACATTAGTGCATCTCCCATTTTCATTTGCCAAAAGCTTTCTTCCACAGCCCCCTGGAAAAGAACTTGGCTCTGGGCTTTTGTCTTCTACCTTTTCTCAGGAGAAAATATTAAGGACTTAACAGCAGTCAAACAAAGCTAAACATGTACCGATTTTTTGTGGTGAAAGGAGGAGAGAGTTGATGTGTCATATTCAATTGTTGATTTTGATGTCCAGGATACTTCCTTAGAAAGCAAAGTGTTAGTCTCTAAGTTAGCACTCTGCTATGTTCACATTCTCATAAAGAAGTTCTGTCTCACAGAAAACTTGAAATTGATTATTTCAGTAACATATTCAGTAAAGTTGGATACGACTGTGTAATTTACCTTATTTCTCAAGTAAGAAAAATAGTTGGGAGAAAAATACTGATGGCCATGGCTTCAGACATGTTGAGGATAGAATCTTTATATACATGTTATCCTGCTAATAGCTTTTAAAAAAAAAAAGATCCAGAGTTTTTCTTTTCTGTTATATTTTATGTTGAACTTACTGTTCAAGAATATTTGTTCATTTTGGCTCACTTCATTTAATTGCTAGCTAATATGGTTGATATGATGTGTATTTAATACACAGAGTTTAATAGAATATTGTTGTGGTAAATAAGAATTCAGGATTTGTCTGTCTTTCTCTTTTCTTCCAAAGAGCACCAGAAATGACTTTCTGGTAACAGATGCCATTCTTTCCCTCTTGTTGAATCCCCAGTCTGGAGATCCTTGTTTCAATAGAAGAGTCATCTGATCTCACCTGGTTATAAAATGCCCAGATTTCTTAACAGATCTTTTCTGCTACCTGGAAGAGAAAATGTTTGCTTTAAGTGAGATAGAAGGTGAAAAACAAATACTCCCCCTTTGCCTCTTAAAACCTTTTTGTAGTCATGAAATATTTCTTTCTTAATGAATATCTTGTTAGGTTTGGTTATCTCATTGACATTTAAATACAAAGACTCGTTTTTATAGATTGTATAAGTTTGCACTTGCTAGCTATATACATTATAATGATGATTGGTTTGTAAGGATCATGATAATGTAACCATTTTTAACCTTTTAGTAATAGCTACGCAGAAACCTAAACATTTACTTCAGCAAATGTATAGGAAAGACAGAGGAAAAGATAACTGGTTGAACTCTTAGCCTATATCATTTTGGTGGCTTATCAGAAATACAAGACCTCAGATATATGATTTTAGAAACTCAGTGTTAGCAATTTACTTTCCAATGCCTTTTTAATGTGTGGCTCAAAATATACCACAGCTAACTGAGCAGTCAAGACCAATGAAATTCACTAATATTGAACATTTTTCTGTTTATAACATCTTAGGTTTCTCAGGCATCAGACAGGCAGTGTTCCTGCTTCCCTATTTCTAGCACTAATGTTTTCCTCATAAGGATTAACTACTTGGACTTGATGATTCTCACTGGCATTTAATATAAAGTATAATTTTTATGCTAGTGTCATTTTCAAAGTACTCAGTACTTCTAAATGATGTTTTACTTGTGAGATTTTTGAAATAAGGATTATTGCCCAGCATCTGCATGTGGAATGAGTGTCATAACATGGCATATATCATAACGTTTCACTTGTAATATTTCTGGTAATGTTTCCTTGGAAGAAATTTGGGAAGAAGATATCTGAAGGCTAGCTTTTGAGAAATTTAAAGATGTCACAATGTCTCCCCATCAATAAAGTATGCATGTTATGTTCTCTCTCTCAATTTCCCTTGTGGCTGTGCATGCACGTGTGTGAGAGTGTATGTGTGTGTGTGTGTGTGTGTGAGAGAGAGAGAGAGAGAGAGAGATGATTATCATATGGAGAAAGCTGCCACATTGTGTATATTAAAATCCTTATTTATCTAAGCATTCAAAAATTATTCTTAGTAACTCTCTTATTACTGGGGCCAAAAGATTATTAGTTCTCATTTACCAGTTACATGATGCTCTGAGTAGAGCCTGAGAGACTTTTAAATTAAAAAAAAAATTAGATGAGCATGCCTATTTTATATGTTAACTTTTGTACAGAGAATGTTAAAATTAAACTCACTAGTTAAATCTCTGAAGATGATTTATAAAACTTCTAAATGTATCTTGACTTAAATTATTGTAAATTTTATGGAGGAAAACATCTATACTCTTCATGTTAGGTGCAACCTATCCAGGTGACAAAAGAAATTAAAATCACGAAATTCTAAAAAATAAGTTTTATTATCAGTGACTCAAATTTTGATTTGTTTATGTTTATGAATGGCCTTTTGAGATCTGGAAAATAATAAAATTGTTCTTTTTCCCAGAATTACCCCTGGACTACAAATTTTCAAGGTTTTCTTCAAGCAATTCAAAAACAGCTGGCTACTATCCAAACCCTCCATTGATCTTATCAAATAATGAGACACTGACAACCAAATAAACTGTCTTTACTGAAAAATGAAGTGAAGAACTATATATGCAGCGAGTCTACTGTAAAAATGTTACCTTTCAAAAAATACTATAAAATGCTTTATAGGAACAAATTCTTAATGATAACTGACCAAGAAATTGGTGTTTTTTCCATAGGTCTCCTTTCTGTATAGACCATCTTTATGCCCAACAACTCTCATTACATTAAAATCTCAGTATCTTAGAACTGAAAAGAACCTTAATATTTTCTATACCAATAGTTCTGAGATTAGGATTCATCTGGGGATTAGGAATCACCTGTGTAATATATACATGTATTCATACACACACACACACAATTTACACATATGCCTAGACCAGTGGTTCTCAAAGTGTAGTCCCCAAACCACTAGCACAGCATCACCTGAGAATCTGATAGAAATACAAATTTGCAGGCCCCACGCAAGGCCTGCAGAATCAGAAATGTCGGGGATGCAACCCAGCACCCTGTGTTTTAATATTAGTGGATTCATATACTAAAGTTCAAGAATCACTAGCTAGACCATAACCTCCAGAGATTGGTTTAATTGGTCTGGAAATATAGATGAGCACTGACATCTTTTACCTGCCCCAGGAAAAGTGCAGCCAGAATTGAGAATAATTGATCTCTATCTGTTCCTTCCACTTAAAACCAAAAATACTGAGTCTAGTGAGAATAGGCTATCCAAGCTATCAGGTTTTATGCTATTCTTAAGTTTTCCAAAACAAGGAGCTAAAGAGGATTTCTTGTGAGACCACACAGCCAGTATGGGACAGAAATGAGATGAGAAGCCAACTATTTCAACCTCTAATGTTACTCATAAGGGTTTTTCCCCCCCAATAATGTTAAAGGCTATATAATTAATTTTCATTCACTTTAAGGTATATATTCTCAGTGGGACAAAAATTGGTTCTTGGGGTGAAAAAAATACTAGATAATGCAATGAATTGTGCCCCTCCAAAGCTCAACCCTACCCAGTAAATCTTACTCTTTAGCATTAATTTCTCTCATTAGGGAAAAACAGAATTTAAAGTTAAATTTATTAATTAAATTTAATTTGGTTGAATTTAATTTTTCTCGGGGGGGGGTAGTAATGAAAAAAAGATTGGGAAAAATGCTTTAAGAGATTTCATAGTTATATTACAATCCAGGATTATTGTGTTCCATGTGCTTCGTATAGTCCTCGAATAGTAGCTACTTGTGGCAAGATGTCTGGAGCCAGATGTTTACAGTAAATTCCTGGCTACTCTTTATGTTTTAATTTCGCTCTGTCCATCATGGACAGTGTCAGAAAACACAATGGTCACTATCATTATTTTACCTGGATTGTAGCAGAGAACTTAACATATTGATGCATGCAATGAAAAGATAAATATTTCATTAAATTTTTAAATCCTCAAATAATCCCAAAGGTATTGTGGGAATGAGTATCTCAGGGTGGGTAAACAGTTACTGAAATTTTTTCCTCAGTGTCAGTAGCTCTGTTTGATATCTACTAATAAGTATATGGTAATATATTTAAAACTGATTTCCAAAATCTTATTGGAATATGATAACGAACACACAGTCAGCTTAGGGCTAAGTGAAAGATGCTGTCTGACGTATACAAATAGATATTTAATTTCTTTAAAAATAAAGCTGTTTTCCCTTATGTGGATTTATTTTGTCAATGGGAAAGAGGAATGTATCTTTTTTTCTTTTTTAAAGATTTTATTTATTTATTTGAAAGAGAGACACAGCGAGAGAGGGAACATAAGCGGGGGAGTGGGAGAGGGAGAAACAGGCTTCCCGCTGAGCAGGGAGCCCTATGCAGGGCTCGATCCCAGAACTCTGGGATCATGACCTGAGCTGAAGGCAGACGCTTAACGCCTGAGCCACCCAGGTGCCCCAAGAATGTATCTTTAAATGCTTATAAACTATTATTATTAATATGAAAAATGAGAACCCCAAAATACGTTAATTGCACTTTTTTGGTCACTAAGGATTGAAAAAAAATGGAACTCAAATCAGAAGTTCTCATCCTACTTTTACCCGTACTTACCTAAGGGATCTGAACAAGTTACCATATATATCTAATCTGACCTCAGTTTTTTCCATCTTGTCAAAAGACAAGGTTAGAGTTTTATTTCCGAGTTTCCTAATACCCTTCTAGCAGAGTCAGTTCTTCTAATGAATGTTGTTTTTCTGTTGGATAATTAGACTTTTAAGTTTTTTTATTTCATTTTTTCTAAAAAGTGCCAGTGTTTCTAATTGGATCTGAAAAGTAAAAATAATTTAAAAATGGCACTATAAAAGTTAAAAAGATATTAGAGAAGAAAAGCTATATATTCTTTAATAAAGTTAAATGAAGCAAGAAAGCAGGAAAATTGTATAAATGGACGGAGGACTTAAGTTTAATATTAGCATAAGGCAAACATTCATCATCTGAAAGATAACTACAAATAAATGCAAGAGATTTTAGATTTTCTTTGCTGGCCACTGTTGGTCTCATCAGCAGAGGTAAGATCTGAATGTCACAGTGGTAACGGTTTGTCAGAATTTCGTTTTTGGAATATTGAGGTAGAGAAACTTCAGTTAAACCATGAATTGCAAGCTAAAATCAACTAAAGTTTACTCTTGAAATTCATGGGTCTGAACTGCACGGGTCCGCTTATATGCAAATATTTCTCGATACAGTACTGTAAATGTATTTTCCTTATGATTTTAACATTTTCTTTTTTCTAGCTTACTCTATTATAAAAACATAGCATATAATACATATACAAAGTATGTGTTAATGTTATCGGTAAGGGCTCCAGTTAACAGTAGGGTATTAGTAGTCAAGTTTGGCAGGGGAGTCAAACATTACACATGGATTTTTGACTATGTATGGGGGAGGGGGCCCTAATCCCCACATTGTTCAAGGGTCAACTATACTTCTGAGTTTTTTAAACTTGAAATCAGGTATTATTTCCCCACCAATTTTCATATCCAACAACTTTAAATACATGTATTTAAAGCAAAAAAAATATATATATATATACACACACACATGTATATATACACACTCATACATGTATACACACACATTTATTGAACTGGTTTGAATGAAAAATCTATATGATTATTGTATATAACAAACCAGCATAAAATAGAATGTCACACTCTCTTTGGATATAATAACCTTGACTATATTAGAATCACATGGATAGCTTTTTCTTAAATGTGATGTTACAGTAACATTCCCTTACCTCTTCTCAGAGTCTTGAGAAGAACGTTACCATAAGACCCACTGTGCTGCCCATGAAAATCCTTGGGCATGGTCCAGTCCACATAGGGTGAATTCAAAAAGGTATCTCTTGTTGGTCTCTAGAAATAATGGCAGAAATAATGGCAAAAAAATAATGGCTATAAGTGCTAACTCTTCACCAGGCTACTTCATGTTCCTTATTTATCCCCTACAGCATCCCTATGAGGTGTGTATAATTATTAAAATTTTACAGATAAGGACATTGAAATTCATAGAGGTTAAATAACATCCTTGCTCAAAATTGTACTGTTACTAAGGAACAGAGTCTATACATGAGCCCAAGTTTCACCCCAAAATTCATGCCCTTAGTTGACTGACACATAAAAGTCTTCCAACACTGGAAAAGATCGGGGCAAATTCTCAGTCTAAAACCACACTTCAATTTAACAGTCACATCATGCTAGGACATGTGAGGGATTAGAAATACACAGGCTCTGTCCTAAAGTAACAATTTAGTAAAAAATATTAAAGCAAAGATCTATAACATAGAACTTACCTGGAAGAGTAAAATAGAGAACCAAGAACCATGGGAGTCCTAAAACATGTAATGAAGTCTACTCTTCTTGGAAGCCACATAAACTAAAGTTATTAGTAAGCAGGTCTACTCTTTCTTCATATTCAGGTTCAAACATTCACCTTGCACACTTAGCAAATTTCCCCTTTGATGCTGAGGAAACCAAAATGGAAAAGGAATAATGAAAACCGATCCAAGTAAATTTAATGGGAGATGGGATATCTGGGCCTATTGAGAGAATTTGGGTCATTAATTAGAATGACAACTACAATATCACATAGACTGCTTGGCAGTCAGGTTCTTATACCATGCACCTGTTCTCAGAGTCTTAAAAAAAAGACTTTATTTTACTTTACCGGTGCTTTGGCCTTGGCACTTTCTTGGTAAAGATTAAAGCTTAATAAAGTTTACTAAAAAGAAGAATGGGGCACCTGGCTGGCTCACAGTCGGTAGAGCAGAAGACTCTTTTTTTTTTTTTTTAAAGATTTTATTTATTTATTTGACAGAGAGAGACATAGCGAGAGCAGGAACACAAGCAGGGGGAGTGGGAGGAGAAGCAGGCTTCCCGCAGAGCAGGGAGCCCGATGTGGGGCTCGATCCCAGGACCCTGGGATCATGACCTGAGCCGAA